CTCTCATCCTGATCGAATTCCCCTGTTACATTACTTGTCTACTTCTTTCTCTGATATAAAAATTGGACTGAGATCCACTCTCATCCTGATCGAATGCATCATGTGGAATTAATGGAGTTAGGGAACCAATGTGGTGTGGTACACACAGACAAGGAGATTTGACCCGACTGGACAAGTTTTCTGGGCTTCTGGGTGGTTTTGTTTGTTTTTGGCGAGCTGACCTGAAAGTCCATCCAGAAAAAAAAAATTATACTAATTACTAGTATAGCATTTCTATGTACATGAGTAACATTTCTACTACTAAGTTATGTAATATGTATTTTTGCTCCTTGCATTGCACGCTGGATATAAGTTAGTTTGATACTTTACTGACTGGTAAGCCGGAAATTCTACACGTACGCGCATTCATTGAGTCCCCTTTACATAATTATATGTAAGAATTAATGGTAAATTAGAGATAGGTACCTGTACTTTGGGGGGAGTGATATATAAGAAGGTATCTTGAACTTTCAATTATAACATTTTTTAGTATCCTGAATTTTTTGAAATAGACACTTAAGTCCATCCATTACTAGTATTCCCTCACTTAAATATTACATAATGCCATAACTACCTTTCTCGTTCAACTACCACTAGTCCAGGACTAATTGTTCTGTGTTGAGGAAGTAACACTCGGTAGACACTCCACCACTCATTGTCTCTTCTTCAGTGAAAATACAGATTAAAGTTATCGACCCAACAAGGCCAACCACTTTAATCCTCTCGGACCCATCTTGAGTCTTGAAAATATAGATACATGTATTAAACTCTTCAACCTCCCCATCCCATCCTTTCTTCACAGACAAAGCCACATCCATAAGGAAAAAAGTGGCTCTCTAAATTCGAAGAAGAGTTGAACATTCAAACGATAACCTTGCTGTCCAAGAAAGGTGGCCAGGTTTTTTGGACCCAAAATAACACCCGGATTTTGATCAGTATAAATGAACATAACAGGGTAGAAGACCCTCCATATCTATCTGATCCGAGAGATGGAACAAGTTAAGCTATTTGGAGCTTTTCCAAGCCCATTCATTTACAGAGTAATCTGGGCTCTGAAGCTCAAGGGTGTACAATATGACTACATAGAAGACGATGATCTCTTCAACAAGAGTAATTTGCTCTTGGAGTATAACCTAGTTCACAATAAGAAGGCTATTGTTCTGTTCGTGGAGTTCCAATTGCAGAGTCCATTGTTATCCTTGAATACATCGAGGAGACATGGCCAAATAATCCTCTGCTGTTGCCACAAGATCCTTACGAGAGAGCCCAAGCTCGGTTCTGGATTAAATATCTGGAAGACAGGGTTAATTATTTCTTAATTTTCTTATTGTGTAGACACACTTAGACCACCAAGTGTTTGATTTAAAAACGTTGATATGACCCTCTGTTTTCGTTCTTATATCGTGATGTTTTGGTGATGTAACAAGCAACCTTCTTTGCAGTGTTTTGGTCTGTTGGGGAACAACAGGAGAAGGCACTCAAAGAGGCCTCAGAAGTGTTGAAAACCATTGAAGAGTGTGGTGGTCTTGGAGAGAAGAAGTTCTTCGGTGGAGACAGTTGAAATGGTGGATATAGCATTCGGATGGTTTGTTCACTGGATCGGACCGAACTCCGAAGAGCTCTCAGGTGTATAGTTAGTGGAAGTCCATGCATTAATTCCAAGACCACGCATGGTTCAGGTTAGTTCTGGTGACGATTTTACTCTGCCGGAGATTTATTACCCCTCACCGGTGAATTGATTTTAATCGGTGTTGTTTTGGTCATTTTAAATTTGTTGAATTTAATAATTTAAAATTTATATAGGCATTTCAGCAATTTTATGATACACAGAAACGTGAATGAATGGAAATTGACCTAAGTGCTTATTTTTGAGAATTTAGGATACTCAAATAGTACAATTGAAAATTCAGGTTCAGGTACCCCAAAAGTACAGAATATCTATCTATCTGTAATCTATCCAAAATTAATTATAGAGAAATTTAACATTCTTGGGTCACCTTACCTCTAGTGAGAATTCAAAGGAGTGCTTCAAATCATAGATTCATAGATAGAAGTTGATTGAGATAACGGTGAATGGGATAAACAGTACAAAGGAAAAGTGGATTTTGGACATTTGTATCATCGTCTAAAGAGTGGGAGTCTCAATCATAGTAACTCGAATTAATATACAAATACAACGAACCGAACTCGAATGCGCCTGAGTCCTGTTCATTACCTATAAGCTATAACTAACTAGCCAAGCTATACCAGCTTCGCTTTTGCTATTGTAGCCACCTACCAGACGCAACGATGATTCTGTCTTTTTTATGTCGAGATGGCAATCGTTTATAATGACTGAAGATTCCAATTTCTGGGTAGAGATGGAATGGGCTTGAGGTGTTTATCATTTCCATCAGGTTTCAGGAACAGCTGAATCAGAGATCAAATCCAGCAATCGACAGTCATTGACTCAGTGGATGAGTGGAGGTGGACCCTTCATCTAATTTAATGGGTTCCCTTAGGCTTAAAAGGGTGCATTGTTCCAATCGGAACCGCATTGAAGTGGATCCGTACGTATTTAGTTATATTGACTCAATTATAGGAGAGTGGATTGAATTTGAATCAATACCATTTGCCCATGTACAGACAGCCTAATAAGGAAGTGTATCTCCTCAGATGCCCATACTGACTAACCGAATCATTCAATTAAATCGTAAAATCCTGTTTTCGACTCGAACTCAATTATCCCCTCTGTGCTAGAAATCTCAATAACCAATAGAAATGACAATTGGGTGGATTCAGGGTTATGCATTCTCCTTGTTCCCATAGCTAAGATGTCCTCTATCCCATTCTCAGTGGTGAGGCAGCCACTTTTCATTGGAGAAGGAAAATCCCCAAATTTATAAGGGTATAATAAAATTAGATTAAACCTGCCTTATTTGGAGAGGGGTGGGGTAGGGCCCCAATTTCATAAGAAAAATTATCATCCCTAAAACCGGATTAATGGTAAAAATAAAACTCATCCAAACTAAGGCGGGGCAAGCAAAAACCCCACGGGGAAGGGTCAAACTGTAGAAATTAAATCAAGTAATTTGTCAATCATTCAAGCTGTGATAATTTTTAAAGCTCAATTTAAAATGAATACAAATACAAATATATGGAGTGCAAAACCTTATATTTTATATATATTTTTACTATTACATATTTATATTTATACTCTTTTCAAACTAAACTTAATTTAGTTTGACTACTTATCAGAATCAATCCACCAAGCCCAATGATTTTTAATTCCCCTGCTCGAACAAGCAAAGTGTTGTTTATGGCTGGTGGGGGCCCTCACCACTAACTCCCATTGAAAAGACGGAAACATATGTTTCAATGTTTGCCTTTTTGTTCGGTGTATGTAAACTCATTTTTGTTTAGTTCACTACTTTATTATCTACAAACATAATAATGGAATTATCAAAAGTTCTTTCTTCATCTTATTTATTTTTGTGCGGGCATGTGAAGAGAGAAAAGGTAGAGGGTACCCACCCCTTTTTTATTTGATCATACATCGTTGGGGGTTAGAGTCATAGTCATAGAATGGGTCTCCGGTCTCGTACCATTTTGAATATATTTTATTCACATTTTTAAATTTTTTCTTTTATTTGAGAGGGAGGTCTAGTTAGGTGAGGTACTTTGGGTTCATTTGGTTTGTAGTCGAAATGAGAATCCGAGTGGATTATTCTCAAGTCTGTTTGGTATAGAAATAAGAATTAATTAGTATGAATGAGATTTCATTCCCAAATAACCTCTCCCCTCAAATGGGGAATGCCAATCAAGCAAAAATGAAAATGGGATTCTGGTTCTGTTCAATCAAATAGTTAGAATCAGAATAACCCCATTATGAATCCGATTCAAGACCCCATTCATGCAAACCAAACATGGCCTTAATTAGTTAAAAGAAACCCCCTTCTTTGCTTTGCTTGATGTTAGATTAGACATCTCCTGGCACCTGAACAGGAATAGAGCAATTAGACTATGGAAGAATCTAGGCATTACTTTCGTATTACTGCAAATCGGCTACCAAAAGGGGGATTGGGGATTTGCTTGGATTTAAGAGCAATCAAAAGGCAAAAGTGAATATTTATTAATAACCCTAGTAGGTGTTTGGCATAGGTGCTGAAAATATCGCACCGTTTTCTAATAAAAATGGTGTTAAACATGTAGAGTTGTAAGTACTGTTTTCTTAAAAAATGGTGCTTATTTTTTGTTTGGAACCGATGCTATCATATATGCGTTTTTTGAGAAAACAGTACTGGTTTTGTTTGGTACTAATGTTGGCAGCAACTTTTTCAATATCGATCTATGTTATTCGACGTCCAAGATGATACCATATCATTGCACCGCTAGCAGCAACATGTCGCTTTTCCAAAAAACATTGTATTTGGCATTAATCTAGACCGCACTTTCTCAATTCCTAAGGTGTTGTCTAGAGCAACATTTTTTTCCCTAGAAAAACGGTACTAAACAAGAGATTGTTGTTTGAAGCACCGCTTTCTCTGATGTGGTGCCTACATGGCGCCGTTTTCTCAAAAAACAACATCAATGCCAAACATCGCCCAAATCTGTTCCAATTGAAACCGAATCGTTTGCTTTATTGGATTGCACAACAGGGTTGCAGCCCATTCCAAAACCCTAGTAACAGCAGAGTAGTTTGATCTCAAGTTTTGGCTACAACCAATGAGAAACTTGGCCAATTGGACGAGTTGGTACCATGGAAAATAGCATTAGTTGTTGATAGGGGTGGCCACGAGAGCTCGGCTCGGTTTCAATTGAGCTTCGAGTCCAATTTATAGGCTCGATTAATAAACGAGCTGAGCTTGAGTCTAATAGAGCTCGACTTGCGAGCTGAACTTGAATATATATATATATATATAATTATTATAATTCTTAATTTTTTAAATATCAAATAAAAATATTTTATATATATAATTTTTATTTTTATAAAACATTTTTTCTAATATCGAACTCGATCTGATCCGAGCTCGAGTTCAAAGTTCTAGCCAAGGTTCAAAGTATCATTACATATCGGCCGATACCTATCGTTCCAGGACCCTTCCGATATGCCCCTACTGTGGGTGTATCGGGGGTTTGACCGGTTCAGGAGATGAAGGGGTCCTTGACCGGTTCCCCTGAACCAGTTAAAAAAAAAGTAAAAAAAACACGTACCGAAATGCCCAATACGCCCCTACTAGCATATCGGGTGTATCAATATTTTGAACCTTAGTTCTAGTTCAAACCAAGCTCAAGCCTTATATTACCTTGACGAACCGAGATTAAGCCTAGTACTATTCGACTCGGCTCGAATCCAAAGGGTTTCTGCAACGGATAGTGTGGGAACTTACTTTATTAGTTTATTACTGTCGTGAGATGAAACCAAACGATGATTTCAGAATTTCCACTTTTTTTTTTTTTTAATCTTGATTCTTTGATTAAATAAAACAAAATAGAACGTACACTTTTCGGTAAACGAGAGAAAGAGAGATTAAAGGTGGTATAACACTATAACTTATAAGCTGCTTTCTTTCCAAGTTCCTCCAAATGTGAAAGAGACGGAGAAAGTAAAACAAAATCGGCGTATTGCCTTTTTGAATAAACGATGGTTTTTAAAAACGAATCGGTTAGGGGTCTGGTTACCGGTATGAACGGTCTGACAAAGTGATAAGAAAATAAAAAATTTAAAAATTGGAAAATAGTCAAAACCATTCGAACAGTTAACTAGCCAATTCAGTGATTTACTGACTAAAATCAACGGTTTTAGAAGAAAATGATGACCGGTTCCCGGTTTTTCCGGTCCAATCATCCGATCTGATCCAATTTTAAAAACAGTGGAATAAACCCTCGTACAATAATTTCTCGAGGTCACATCTGCGCCTCACAGCGTCCTACAGTGTATTCTCGTCGTATATTGGGAACATCATATACCGTGAGACGTTGTGGGGCGCCGCTTGTGAGGCACAGATCTGGACTCTGATTTCTGCTTTTGGGTGAGTGGGGGTGTTTGGCTTGGGACAGCACATGCCACAGCCATCTTCCAGTCCTATTTTACCAAATTTCGGTTATTAGAGCCCGCCTTAGATGTTAAGCAATAGAAATGAAGCTTCCAAACTGAAAAGGAGCCAACTTCGTGGGGATTGCCGGGAAACTGTACTGAATACAAATAACAAATGTGAAGAGGAGAGTTAAAGAGTATTAAGAAATTATTTTTTCTTTTCATATTTATGTGGGTATTATGAAAGAAGAGAGTCATATCAATTTCTTATTAGGAGGTGTTTGTTTTTAGAATTTTGACTCATATTTATGTAAAGATCAATGAATACTTTTTTTATTTAGTGAAAAGTTGTCAATACTTAAATAGAATAAAAATACTGAATATTTTAAAATAATAAATTTTTTTGGTTAAAATAATCATTGATTTATTTATTTAAGAAATAAAATAACATAGTAAATGAATAAAAAGTGAAAAAGTTGAGGAGTTGGAAACTTCCAAATTCCAGGAAGGGACAGGCGGATGAAATAATCGAGACATGAAATAGA